AAAAAAAAAAAAAAAAAAAAAAAGAAACAGGTACAGAGAAGGGGGAAGTACTAATGACAAAGCTGTTAGAATGCTTGGTTTTGAAGTGTGGGCACTGAAGGGTTAAATTAACAAGGCTAGGACCTAAAAGGTAAAAGTTTCTGCACCTCTTGAAAGCTGCAGATCTTCCCAGCAGGTTTTTGAAAATGAAAGAGATCATCCCTGATATCATTTAGCATCTGTGATCACTGTACAGTAAGAGGTTTGTGGTATCACGTCTTGGAATTTGCCTGACCTGAAGCACAGCCCCAGGTAGAAAACCACAAATTGTACTTTTAACCCCTCAGATAAGCCCGTGTTCGTTTATTCTTTGAAAAACAATCAAACTATTTGCTGTGAGTCAAGAGACCATCTTTGGACTATCTGATGTCCAGGCTAGAAAGAGACCGCTGCAATAAGCAAAACAGATTGATGTTATAAGAATTTAGCAGCTAATAGGGAAGTCCTGAATAAGGTACTTGCAGACATTGCAATACTGGAGATGAAGGTGGGTTCAGTAAGACAGGGTTCAATAAAGCTCAAAGTTCGCGGTGGCGTTGGTTCAGCCAAAGATTTGAGAAGTAACTCTAAATTGGACTCTATTCCCAATGAATAGGTTTGTCTTTGTGTTTCTTTATCGCACAGTTTGAGGTAAAAAAGCAAGAGTGTGTGTAGAATGTATCAATGTTTTCTCATTTCTCCCTAGATTACCAATAAAAGCAAGGAGTCAACATGGGCCTTAATTCACAGTGTGAGCGATGCTTTTTCTGGCTGGTTGTTGATGCTACTTATTGGGCTTTTATCAGGTATGGTAAACCATGTGAGCTTTCTAAACAAATCTCCTAAAATTGTGGTGTGCCCCTCTCCCAAGTCATGAACTGAATTGAATACTGTGCTTTACTGTTTTCCTACATGAACGGAATTGTTCGTGGACCTTTGGGAAGCTTGATGTCCCCGTCTATAAAGAGGTAGTAATACCTCATCTCCTTCCTTAAATAAATGAGGCTAAATGAGGAAATGCATTTAAGTGCATTTGTATGCTATAAAATATTGTATCCATTTAAAGGTGCTGTTAGTACTGCCTTTTGGTGCTTGTCTTGAGGAAGAACCTTTCTATTAGAGACAGGGTTTTTTTTTTGGTTTTTGTTTTTGTTTTTTTGCCATGCCGCGTGGCTTGCAGGATCTTGATCCCCGACCAGGGATTGAACCCGTGCCCTAGCAGTGAAAGCGCTGAGTCCTAACCACTGGACAGCCAGGGAATTCCCCCCCCCTTTTTTTTTTTAACATATTAGTAAGCATGGGGTTTAGGAAAGAACATGTAGAAGAGGACTTCCTGAGAGATTTTTGTAGCTATTTCTTAAATATCTACTCTCTCATTTGGGAGTAAAGAAAAGCATGTAAGATATGGCTCATACCCTTAGGGGGCCTAAATTCTTACTCTTTCATGGTGGCCGAGGACTGGGATGGTACCACCTTTTCCTATATTCTCCATCAACCTCCTAAGCCACTCCAAATAATATATAATCTTAAACACGAATAGCACACTTGCTATGCAATACAGCTTTAAAGCAGGTTCCCAAGCAGGCTTCCCCTCCCATGGGGAAAGCAGAAAGCCAAGAATACCAGGCAGAGATGCTGAGACTTATATCCTTGTGGCCTTAGAAGATGGGCCTAGGAAGATTTAGAATATTGAGCTAAAATAAAAGGTGGGAAATTGGATGGCGGTTGGGATGGAATGGTAGTTAATAGCACAGGCTCTAGTTCATGGCTACCTGGATTTGAATCCCAGCCCCACCGCTTGCTAGTTTTGTGACTTCAGGCAAGTTTCTTAACCCTTGGAAGTTTTAGTTTACTGACTTGTAAAATGGGGATAAGAGTACCTATATTACAAGTTTGTTGCGAGAATTGAATGAAATACAGCGATACAGCACTCAACACAGTGCCCAGTTGTTCACAATGCTGCTGTTACCTAGAGATAATTCATGAGCCATGGAGTATAAAATGATCGCAGCAAATGAGAAATGGTTCATCCATAGCAGAGTTTTCAAAGATTATCTGGGCCAGGGGTCAGCAAGCCTTTTCTGTAAAGGGCCAGATAGTAAATATTTTAGGATTTGTGGGCCAAATTGTCTGTATAGCAAGAATGTAGCCATAGAAAGTAGGAAAATAAACGAGCTGGACTGTGACCAAGAAAAACTCTATTTAAAAACACAGAGGCAGATTTGACCCTCGGGCCATAGTTTGCCAACCCATGGTCTAGGGTGTTAATGCTGTCCCTTTTCTGGCTCGCACAGAAGAGAGACGTGGTCTGGACAATTTAGAGCTGGCTCATAATAGATTGAGTGGTCTGTAATGTCGAGTATTGCACAGAAGCTGACAAGAAGGAAGGGGGCTGAGAAAAGGTTATGTAGTTTAGCAATTAGGAGGATACCAGTGACCTTGAAAAAGCATCTCAGATAAATATTAGGAGCCAGATTTCTTTTTTTTTTTTCTTGGCTGTGCTACGCGGCTTACAGAATCTTAGTTCCCCTACCAGGGATCGAACCCAGGCCCCTGCAGTGAAAGCGCCAAGTCCTAACCACTGGATCACCAGGGAGTACCCAGGAACCAGATTTCAAGGGAAGGCAACCATTGTAGAAGTTTTGGGGATACTGGGTAGTCACTGGAAGGAGAGAAAGGACAGAAGCTTGAAATGGTAGCATAGACAAGGGGAAGCATTTCATTCTTTAGGGTAGGGGAAACCTGCTAATATTTGTAACCAGAGAGGAAAGAGCCAATTGGGAAAAGAAGGAGAAGGAGATGTAGACGGGAAGATAGGATGGAGGGTACCAGTGTTAGGTAGAATAAGACATGCACACGTGAAACAACCAGAGAATTAGCCAAACCCTTTAACATCGTGTTAGTTTTCTGAATCCAGGCAGTAAGTGCAATACGAGTTAGAAGGAAGAGACAGCGGGAACTGGAGTGGCCAAGAGTAGGTGTCAAATAATTTGTTAGATTTGACTAGGTTATTCAAATATGTAAATAACTAAGAGAGTGTGTTAACACTTTTAGCACCTACCAAAACATACACGTGACATGGCCTGTTGGAACGGAGGCGTAATATCCTCAACTTTTTAATGTATGTCTTGTCACTAGGTGGTCAGTGAATATTTTTCTTTCCCTCATACACACAGGGTATTTTGTTTTTAAGCATTGGAGAGCAACAATAGAAGCAGTGTGTCAGAATGCAGGAACAGTCTGGGAATTCAGGGGCTGTGAATTTTATGATGTCTTTGCTATTTCCCTAAAGCACGATTCTAGACCATTTAATTTCTTTATGCCAGCGTTTCTTCATCTGGACAGCAGAAATGATGAGAAGGGCAGAATTGAAAGTACTATAACTATCTTAACCCTATCAGTCTATTAGCCGCAGTGCATTAGTCCCCATTCATTTTCTCATAATTTTCTTTGAGGAACGTTCTGTATAAAATATTATTTGCTCCTTGTCACTAAGAAAACTTCAGAATGTTCACATCCTAGGCTCAGGAGGCTTCAGCCTACCTACAGCTTCATCTAATCTTCCATGTACATCACAGTTTGTGCTTTTATAACTTCAGTTCCCTTAGCCTAGAATGCCTTCCTGCCACCACTCAAATTCCCTCGCTGCTGGAGCCAAATCGGCATGGAGACTGAGCCCTTTTCCTCATAGTGTTCAACTGCCCTTGGCAAGCCATCTCAAATAAATATCATATAATATTCTTCAACATGGGCAATTCACATTTTCTCAGTTTTATGTATAAAGTGAGAATAAAATAAACTTTAAGAAACTTGACCGTCTTTATGGATCAGTATTCATCAACTCTAAGTCAAAGCAGAGTCTTTGCCAGGGGAAGCAGCTAAAAGTCAAATCCACTCGCCCCTTGCTCCCACCCCACCACTTTGCTCTCCTCTAAGTTTCCCATATACAATAAAGATCCTGCACACACAGTGTTTAATGCGGACAATGTTGTTGTTGTTATTTTTTCCCCTCTTGAACAGGCATTTAATAACAGGTAAAATCCATTAGAGATAAAAGGTGAAAAGCAAGCAGACAGACAATCAGAAGGAGGTTGCAGATGGAATGAGAAAGTATATACTTGTCCATTATTTTGATTCCTTTTCCCTTATTTTCTCTGACAACTGTGGCCTTTCCTTCCCTCCCCTCAAATCAGGTTCCCTAGCTGGCTTGATAGACATCTCTGCTCACTGGATGACAGACTTAAAAGAAGGTATATGCACAGGGGGAATCTGGTTTAACCATGAACACTGTTGCTGGAACTCCCAGCATGTCACCTTTGAAGACAGAGACAAATGCCCAGAGTGGAATAGCTGGTCCCAGCTTATCATCAGCACGAATGAGGTAACACGTAGTGAAGATTTCTGAACCACTGATTTAATTATTCTTACATTTACTTCATTTCTTATACTGTCCCTGTGGCAAATGTGGAAGCTTCCTTTATTTTCCTTTTCATGAAAAGGGGAACCAGTGCCAGCTGCCTTTCTCTGTGGTTTAAGTGCAGTCCTATTTCTATCTCTTCTGACATGTGGAGTGTTTTGATGCTTACACAACAACTTAAAATGTTTTGCTTGTTTTAAACAAGCCTGATGTTTCTTCTTAGTTGTTAGTACACCGTGTGACTGAATCTTTCTCTAGCTATTTCCGTAGAAATGTCAGAGTCAGCCAACAGGTAAGCTATAATTTCTAACAAAGGATGGAATGGGTTAAAAATGTGTTCAAGCGATTTTTCCCTGAGCGTTGCATTAGAACATTAAAAAAATTATGATACTTTCCATAGCAAAATAACAGAAACCCAGGAATAAAATTGCCCATACATTTTGAGATTAAATTAAAATGTTCATCTGTCATTGTCTTTTAGCATATCTTTTTGGATGTAAAAGTAATTTTGTTTTTTGGTTCCTTACCTTTCTCTTACCATTTGGTTTGTATGTTAGATCTCTCCTACTAAACACGAAAGCACACAAAACAACTCTCAACTCCCAATTCCACTCTGGCTTCCACCAACTAAAACAGGTACTATCTCAGCTCACTCCTCATCTACTCTGTTGGTAAAGTGAGGGGGACAAGACTAGGATGTTTGTTTGTACTTTTAAAATTTATTTTCGTACCTACTTTGGTCCACAAACAATTTGAAATGGCACACACCCCCACAGATTCAGTGAAGGTAAGAGAAGGATAAGAAAATAATAAAGTCAGAAATAAGAGTGTTTATGTACATATATCTGACTGTGCATATTGGCTTGGCTTAGCTACATACTGTATGTGTGAGAGGGTTTAAGTCTGTGCTTCTCAGACTGGGGTTAGGTCAGCGTACCAGAGGGTATGTGAAACCTCAGGATACATGCTATGTGCTTTCCCAGAATATCAGTTTTTCCTGATCAGTATTTGGAAGAAAATTTTTTTCAAAAATTAAATGTAAACAATCATTAAAAAGGAATGCAAAAGTCCTATGTTTAAGATAAAACAGAATATCTATTTCAGCTCTGCTCTGGGTACCCCACCCCCTATCCTCTCTCCTAGATTAGGAGTATGTACTTGGGTTGAAAAGTTTGAGAAGCTCCGGATTTAGGGTGAGTCTC